GCGGAACTGCCAAGACTGCCTGCCCGATGCACGCGCATGGGCCGGGAACTCGCCGGAATTCGGCTGTACAGCTGTAGGATAGGATAGGACCGGCCAGGGTTTTTCGTCATACTGCTTGCATTTGCATCGCTGCAAGCCCACGGCTGGCATGGCAGCAGCTCGTGCGCAGTCACTTTGTACAAAGGCCGAGATTGTGTTCTCTGCACCCCGGTAAGTCAAGTTCAAACTCCTATAGAATCCTGTCATTCTGCTGCAAATCTTGGTTGTTTTCGGTAGATGGCACAGGTGTAATTGTTTGCAATGGACTGCGAGGATATAGGAGAGATCTTGCGTGTGATGCAGTGGACTGAATGCAATTTTAATCTCCGGCGCGAACTCGAAGCGGTTTTGCCTGGACTTGGAATGCCCGATTGCGAAACGCACCCGTGGCAGTAAATTCTTGCATGTACCCTAGGCTGAGATTTTGGCGGCCTGCATCCCAACAATGGGACATTCCACAGGGAATCTGTGGATGTAGAGTTGCAACAGGATCGCAAATACTCAAAACGAGTGCGCTAGCTAGCACCTACATGACGTCTCATGCTCCGCTTGAAGAACATTGCAGCCCTGGGACGTACAAACGACGCCACACTAGGCAACCTTGTTTGTCGCAGTAGCAGATTTGCAAACATGGCCGCGGGGCATGATGGACTAATCCGAGAAAGTGGCCTACCGGACCGACATAGTCAGTCGCTCGAGTTGGAGTACGCACGACATGTTGTGTCAGCCATAAATTCTCGTTTTGAACGTCAGCAAGTCGCTTGATTTCAGGCCGTACTGCACTCACCTGTACGTGGGCTGCGGGGCCAAGGCTTGCAGGAGCGCGAACGGATGATGGTGCCGAAAATGACCCAGTGGCACAGCAAAGCCTCTTTGGGCCTTCCAGCCAAAGCGCATCTAAAAGCGTTGTGGATTCACGCAATGGCCATTTGCCAGCTGGCCTTGCGGTTTGCTTGGAGCCTAGCCGTGTTGCCCTCGTCATGGCCTTGACACAAACTCATCGCCGATTGCACACGAGTCGCGAAGGCCCGCGAAGAGTTCCATCGTGCCCAGTGCATGCGATCAGTCTATCGGGAAATGCAATCCAGCCTGGCATGATGCCCTAGACATGCTCAAACAATAGCTTAGATAAAGATACTACGACCGCTTTGGAAAGAGCCGTGCAGTCTTGTTTATTTAACAAATGCCTAGCGTACAACTGGAACATTGGATTTTACGTCCTTTTTTACGAGAAGCAACCTGACACAGACTGTTGAGCGCCGCTGGAGTGCGTGCGCTGTAGCCAAGATGTAGCAGGGCCTTTGAATGCACACTTGCTGGGCTGTTTATGCCGCCAGAATAGTAACACGTCGCGAGATGTCGCGCCCATCGACTTCGACTGTACGTCCCCACGGCCAAGATGAAAACGTGGAACTTACTTGACCGCGTGTGCAGAGCGTTGCCGCGAATTTCGCTGGGCTCATTCAGAAACACCGCGCCAAAGCTGGAGTGTTCAACGACTGTAACTTGCCATCTCCACATGCTGTGTGCAGAAGTTGAGGCTTTAAGATCCATGCAGGTTCAGGTGCAGATTGTGTGTGTGTGTGTCAACTTGATGCGTTCAGGCTTCAAACAACTTGCGCAGGCGCTCAAGTTTACATGTGTTCCATCAACTGGGCAGCCAGCACAGCCGTTGTCCTCTGCCGTTGTCCTCGGTCTTGAGGTTGGCAGCCAGTGGCCTCCGCCCGGTCGAGCAACTGGGTGACCCAAAGCCGGTCTGAGTCGATCTCATCAGGCACCAGTTCCGGATGGTCGGGCCTAGGACGTCTCGGCAGAAAGCGGCCGGCACAGTTGGCAGGACAGCAGGTCCTGGAGCTCGGCCAAGGTGGTCTCGCTGCACGCAAAAAAAGTTGCGGTCAAGGTTTGGTGTAAATGGGTATGCTTCTCCCAGTTTTGTATTGCAAGATTGCCAACTCTTCGCCCGCCATCCGCTTGCCGGATGAGCAAGCGCCGCATCTAGCAACGCCGCCTCTGGGTCATCAACCACCGCGACTCGGTGACACTTGGTTGATCCCGTGTTCCGCTGGCCAAGCTCCCCGTACATGACAAACTGGCTGCCTTGCCTCTTGAACTTTGGGCGCGTCCCGTCTGGCCACTCCTTCCAAGCTTGTCAGACACAAATTTGCGCAAATTTGGCATTTGTGCTTTTGCTTTTCGTCCTGCCTCTTTCCTTCCTTACCCTTGCCGTTCCCCTCAGCCGGTGTGACTTCGCGGAATGGGCGTGTTCGCCAACATCCATCATGACCCAAGAGGTTGAGCGTCTCGGCTACAGATGCCCCCAAAAAGAGTTGGGCTGACACTCGAATTCTTCTGGTCTCTTCTTGGCGACCTGGGGCCAGGTGTCCAGCCTCAGCTTCGATTCGAAGCTTTGAGTGCTTCAACAGGCTGTACATGAGCTCTTCGTGAGCTCCAGCCATCTTCGTCAGTATGTCCGCCGGATTGAAGTTGTGAGGGCTCCGATCAGTGCGATCTCGAGAGCGCTGCGGTCGGTTTCTCCCTGCGCCATCGTACACCGACTTGGCGTCGATGATCGCCACCAGATTCGGGTCGGCGAACCTTGGGTTCTCTGAAGCAATGACCGTGGGGGTCCCATGAAGACCGCCGTCATCATCACGTTCAGCGTGCTTTCGAAGGCTGTTCCCCTGGCCACCTCAGAGATTCCACCATGGCGACTTGCTTCTCCATGGCGCCGAAGGCGGTTGCCAAAGATATGGCCCGCCAGGCCATCAAAGCGATTGGGGCCGGGCCGGCCTTGTTCAGGCTGTCGGCGGTGATGCCCTGCAACCATCCGTGCTGTGGTTTCTGCTTGAGTGACGGGTGGTGGGAGCTGTCCGCGATCTAGATGCGGCGGATTTTGCCCTCCGGCTGCTGAAGAGGCGGAGCACGACCTTGTGGCCCTTGATCTGGCTCACCCCACGATTCGTTTCCAAGACATCTTCCACCGTTGGATTCGGGAAGCTCCCAGCCAAAATGCTGGCTGCTGCGGACGCATCAGGTCGCCCTTACCCAGTTGATAGATGCAATCGTCCCACGCGGTTGCGTCTCCTTGTCGGCCGTCAGCAATACCTTGCTCGCGTTCTTCTTCAAGGTCTTGTTCTCCAAGACAACCTGCTTAAGGCGGTTCTGGACATAGTCCTGCGTGGAATACGTGAAAGACCAATCCTTCTGCTTGATGCGACGCATAGCCCGAGCCAAGGTCCTCGGATTGAAGTTCTACGCCCTTGCCGAAGCTCAGCTTGTCCTCGACCACCTTGCGCCGTCGATGCTCCGCATCTCCGGCTTCCAGGAAGTCGTCCTGGCTCCGCGAGTGGGAACCTGTTCACCCCGCTCCTCCGCGTCCAGCGTCAGTAATGATTTGTCGTGGGGGTTGGTGCGGTAGCCCAGCTCCTAGACCAAGACCTCCAGAAAGGAGCGTCGCTGCTACACGGTCCGGAAGCAAGACCAGACACCGAGCAAGACCAGCCCCATCGTGCTTGAGGACGACCTCGTGTGGCCTCGTCCTTGACGCGGCAGGCGAGTTTTCTTCTCCTTCTCGTGGGCATCGGTTGCAAGAAGGCAGTCTTCGCATGCTTGACCCGCGCTCAAAAAAGAATTAGAGGCATGACGAGGCATTGGAGCTGACCTCTCGGTCTCATGAATTTGGGTGTCCTGCCAACCCACCACGCACCATCGTGACTTCGCCGCCAGGCCCTCTTGCAGCCATGGTTGCCGTACTCCTGCGGGATAGCCCTCCATCGATCCACAAGCCTGGATTCCAGCACGCCCGGATTGTCCCGTCTAAATTCCTCCGACTCCTTTTTGGCCAAAAAAGTGATGGTGCCGGTGGCGAGGAAGGCTGAAGTTCTTTCGTTCTAGCTTTCCGTCAGGTCGAAGGTTTCGTTGTGTTTCAGGTTGGTTCGACTCGTGCTGATGCAAAAAAGCGTGCGGAAAAAAAAGAAGGAGGGCGAGTCTCGGACAGCTGCCAATGATGATCGTACGATGTGCTTGCAGCTCCTCCACCGCCTTCATCCGTCGCCGTAAAGCTTCTACTTGCGCGGGAGTAGCTGGTCTGCTGGTAGGTCCTCGTTCTCCGTGAGAATACCGGGGCAGGGGTGCCTCTAAACATTTTTTTGCGGAGCAAATACTTAGCGTACGTGCTCATTGTGCTCAAAGGATTCGCGATGCTGTTGATGCCAGTGTGTGGATCGAGTCCGCGCGACGATTTTTCTATTTCGTCAGAGCGAAAATCAGCTAGACGTCATTGCTGGTGATGCCGGCGATGCCAGTGATGCCGTCTGCAGATCGAGACGACGGGCGTCCGTGCGACGAATTAAGTAATTCGACAGACGCCGCCACTGCGCCGCCCCTAGTCCTACCAGCCCTGGAAAAGCCTTGGCTAGTTACACTTGTTCTTACGCCCGGCGGGCATAAGAACAAGTGGGGGCCAGCCGGATCAAGTGACCTGTTCGCTAAAGCGTCTACTTGTTCTTGCCCGCCGTGCATAAGAACAAGTGACCCCTGACGCAACAACGGCATTCTCTTTGCAAGTTTAGCCGCGAAAAAATGGCAGCCACTGACAGAAAACAAATTGAAAACTCTATTCTGGGTGGCCTTTTCGTGCATTTTTTATTTTGAGGCAGGTTGGGAAATTGCCCAATTATCATTACTCACTATGGTTCCTGAAGCCAGCACATTTGATGTATGTTTGCAGCTATACACATGTCGAACGAACCGCTTGGAAGCCATGACTAAGTGTCGCGCACGTGGCCTTGGGAAGCATCTCAGAAGTCAAAGCTCAAAAGCGAAAACAACAAGTCACTGACCGCTGATGGGTCGCTTTTTTTGCTTGCCAAATTTCAACGGTGTTTCGTGTGTTGCGAGCACTGCGGAAGCAAAAATCAGAACCAGAAGCGGCCAATAATGCGGGTTTGTTGTCTTGACAC